TTTCAAAGCTCTCACGTAAGTACTGCAGGCAATTTGCAGCAGATTATAGTATGAAATTGTTCAGATCAGAGTAGTAAGTAGATACATATACATGCAAGCACATGCATTTACATATGCACACACACCACAGTCACAGAATATGAAAGCATTTTTCCTTGCACTGAGAACATGTTCAGTAGCAAATTTAAGTCCAACAGTTTCACACTCATTGATTAATGACCACTTTGGCATACTTGCTGCCTTTCAAAATTTTCATAAACTATAATGCTTCATCCAGACACTCCTGTATTGCTCATGTGAGACTCATCAGCATAAATGCAGAGAATTTTATTAATATTTTGGAAACTAGTTTCAATTAAGACTTCAGTTTCTTCAAACCTTTGATGATTTTTAATAATTGGAGTGACATTTGGACCAGGATGTTTTAAAGGAGAATTTCTGGATCAATCCTCTTGCAAGAATTAATTAATCCACAAGAACGCTCTTAGTAAATAGTAATACATGATGTTTTCTTGTCTCATTGGTTATAAGATTAAAAATTTTAAGGTGACTTAGTCTGCTATACAGTATGCTATTTTTTATTAATGATTTAATGATTATTGGCACTTACAGTAGCCCTAGCAATGAACCAGAATTACATGGATGTATATTAACTGATTACGCTAATTTAACACTAAATATCACTGCTGACTGTATGACATGTTGTATCAGAGGTGGGAATTTCAATTTATGCTGCATATTCATAGTTCTGGTGCTCATAGGCCAGCCAAAAATTATCCTCATAGCTTTCTTTTGACTTCTTTTCTATGGGTCTTAAGATAGATGTAGTTATAGTACAGAGCTGTAAGGTGTGATAGTCGACTGATGACCTTACATATGCAAGACAGAAAGTTTGGCACATGATAATACCAACCCTAGATACCCTATTGGCAAGAAACTTTTATGTTCTGAGTTTCTGTTGACGTCTTTCACACAAATCTTTGACATACTCTTTGTGAGGGAGAGAAGGAACTGATGATATTCCAGATATTTGTGGTTTTTCGCATACCGTAACCATTTAGTTGTTTAATATAAGTTGATACTCTCGAGAAATATTGGAAAAGTACTTTGTTTTTGGGAGTTGAAACGACAAGACCATTGTCTTATGATACTTGAGAGAAGTCAATTTGTAATATTTGCATATTATTGCCAGAAGGTGCCCTTATACAAATGTTGTCTGCATAGAATATGAAGGCGCATTCATTATTTGGTAGTTTGAGTGACTTGAGAAGCTTATCCATTAAGATATTAAAGAGAAGGCGAGACAAAACTCCACCTTGAGGAGTCACCGATGTAAAGTCCATTTCACTGAAAGTAAGGTAGCCTTCATAGTGCATTTTATAAGTTAGACCACTTAAGTAGTATCTAGCTAATTGTAGAAGATTGCCTTTAACCCCAACAGTTGATAAATTATTCAAAATAACAGTTCTGTTTGCAATATCAAAGGCATATTGCAATCTAGAAAAACATTGACTTCACATGTTAAGTTATAATCCTGAATGAACTCATAGAGTCGTTTGCCATTGAAATTTTGTCAGTTGTTTCTGCAAATTCTTTTTGACTTTCAGTATAATATCCAGCATATATACATATGCTTTTTTTTTTATGATTGTGACACCGGGACAGGCAAAAACTGCTTTCATCAATAAAGGCCCGGGCACGAGAAAACACCAAGATGGAGGACCCAGAGATATGGAGGATTAGGCCCTGAGATGACGATAGATCTGCTTATGAAGGATGAAAGGTCATAAGAATTAGGAAAGACAGAAGGAGGAGGAGAGTTCCAGAGTCTGGAGGTAGATGGGAAGAAGCAGTTGCTGCTCCGACCAGTCCGCGAGCTACAAATCTCCACACAGTACCTGTGAGATGAGGCCGCTTGGCGAGTGTTACGTGGCCTCGGCAGTGGGGAGGGATGCTACTAGCCAACTCATCAGAGCAGCGATGGCAGTAGTAGCGATAGAAAAGAAAAAGAAGATACCTTACGGCGAAGAGAGAGAGAATTCAGATTAGAAGTAAGAGAAGGATCATTAATGAGACTGACTGCCTTAGATTCAACCCTATCAAGGAGATAAGTATAAGAAGAAGCAACCCAGATGTGTGAGCAGTATTCTAAGCAGGGACGGATAAGACTTTTGTAAATTTTAAGTAACTGTAAAGAGGAAAAGTAATGACGAAAACGAAACAAAACCCATATTTTTTTGGAAGACAATTTAGAAATTTGAATTATGTGATTCCTCCAAGACAAGTTAGAAGCTATATGGATTCCTAATATGTTGACTGAATTAAGAGGGTAAATTTCGTTAGTTTCCAAAACAATAGGGTTATAAGGAGGAGAAGAAGATAAAGAGATAGCCAGAAACTGTGTCTTGGAGGAATTGAATTTAACTAAATTTTGAGTATCCCATTCAGATACTCTCTGCAAATTGGAGTTGAGAGTAGAAGAAAGAGTGATATGAGACTGATTACGAGTAGCAGATTAAGGTTTTGAAGAAAAGGCAGAGGAAAAGTGAAGGGTAGAATCATCGGCAAAGGCA